GTTAGGATGGGGTAGGTTATTTTGGGTTTAGGATGGGGTGGGTTAGGGTTAGGTTAAGTTGGAGTTAGGATAGGTTTAGGGTTGGTTAGGTTGAACTGTTAACTCACTAGAGCTTCACTTCCTGTCTATGTGGCAACACTCCAGACAAGACCTGATCCTAACAGCTGTTGCTGCAACCGGCAACTTACAAAGCAACTTGATCTAGTTTTTATATTTTAGTAGACAAATGTATAAAACATATGTGGTGAGAGAACAGAATTATTACCTAATAAAATATAATAGTCTTCTAAACATTTTTTGCAGTTTTCTTTTTTTATATACACACACCAATAGAGCTGTGTCTTAATGTATGGATAAAAATAATATATGTATATAAATATAGCTTACTGTTTATTCATTTTAAAGTACTGTCTTGTTTATATTGCTTTATTAATGTTATATTTCAGCCCTTATATTATTTAAACTTGCACTAATTTATGTTTCATTTAGTTTCTACTTGAGTGATTCTATATATTTATACATATTTTGTAAGTATTGCTGAAAAAGGAGACTTTCATTGAAACTCGTTTTGCTTTTGATGAATCAAAAATAAATTCAGCTTTATTTCTGATCCTTCTCTATGATTCTGAAAAATAATATAATTTCTGGTGAACTGGAAGAGAAAAATAAGGAAATATAAGATAACTGTAGTTTCTAGAATATATTTAAATATATATAGTTAAATACTTTTGGAGGTAAAGTTTAATAAGGATGAATTATCTCTAATATATATAAATATATATTAATTTACATAAATATATGTATACTTTTTAGGGTTAGTCTCTGATGAATATATTAAACTTTAGTAAAGACACTAAAGATAACTTTAATAGAATCTTATTATCCGTCACCCTCCTCCTCGCTCTATAAATAATACCCAGAGTTCCTTGCGGCTTCACACCGAAACAAAATGTCGGCCATATTTAAAAAAAAAAAGGGGGTATGAACTGCTCCTCTTGGAGAGATCTATTTCTTGGGTTTGTTTCCTTCCTCTCCACACAATAATGTAATGTGGTGATCAGGGAGGTTGTGGACTCTTTTAAAAAGCAAAGACTCGAGAAAAAAAAACTCCCAAGAAAAACTCTACCTTTATCCCGAACGGAACGTCTTCAAAATTGACCAACATGTACCGGTCTCCTCGGCTGGCCGGATCTCTGCCTCTGAGCTGTGGAGACAGTAGACAGTTATTTACCCACAAATCATCGGTTCGAGGTCGGCGGCGGAAGGATATTAAGTCGTCTCTTACGGTATACCTTCATAAAAGTCTCAACCGCGCCTTTTGCTACGTCCAGAAAGGTAGTGCCCAGATGGGTGCGCTGGTTCATAGACGCGGACGTGTCTATCAGGAAAAGTAACACGGGCATTGTGGTGGTAACGACACGTTCTGCATGACACAAAAAACACACACAAAAAAACCTTTTGTTCTCCTTCCGCCTCTCTGTGTGTCTCCTAGCCGTATCACCCCCTCTCTCTCAGCTAGCTAGTTAGCTCAAAGCTAGCTAGCTAGCATTAGCTCGCTAACTGTCTCTCACACATTCTTTTCCACAAAAAAAGAAGAAAAGTGTAAAGAATAGTGAGTGTAGAAGCCCTTTTATCGGGCGAACTAAACTACAAAAAACCCTAAAAGGGACAGGTTATGGATTCACGAGGGATTTTGATTTTTTACCATATTTTTGCGATTATTCCTAAGTTTCATAGTGATAAAAGTTGCCCCCTCATAGTGTGCCCTACACTGACTGCTCTTGTCTTCTTCTGTGGTGTTTTAGCAGAAGCTCCGCGGATAGACCACGCCCCCTCTCCTCCTACCCTCCCAAAGCAAGAAGGTTTGTCACCGTCACGTGTTCCGGAAAAAAAAACTCCGCTTCCTCCATTGGCTGTCTGAAAGCCAGCTCATTACCATATCCATATAAGGGTTCTAAAACTGAGGTGCTCTAAAATGCGCATGCGCGAGAGGCAGGAACGCGAGGAAAATGTCCTGTACATGCGTTATATGGGAAAGAATACAACATATGTGGGTGGAACATATTATTTAAGAATGGGGATGATTACGTCATCCACATTTACTTCATACCATGCACGGGCAGAGGCCTCTGTGACCGACAACACCCCATAAAGACTAAAGAGATACAACTAAAGATCTATATATTAAAAAACAACAGTGACATATGAAACCAGGAATGCACCTAAGAGTACACAGAAAGTACTCATTGACACTGTGGCATGTGACCAAAAAAAAAAAGACAAGAAATAGTCTGAATAGTCTCTGACACACGCACATCCTGCAGCTCTATAAGATGGCATCACTTTGTCTTTCTGAACCTACATACAGTTTTGACAAATTTCCCCTTGGGGATGAATAAAGTATATTTCTATTCTATTCTTCTTCTTCTCTCTATACTCGCTGGAAGGTTATAAATGAAAATGTAAGATTCAGACAGACTTCTGTTGTTGTTTCCCATCAAACATGAGTTCTGTCTCATACAATGTCTCAACTACAGGGGAGGGTGTGAAGCAGAGGGTTGTTTATGCTTGATAAGAAGGCAAGAACATCTTACATTATTAGTATGATTATTATTATCATTATTACTACTATCATTGTTGTTGTTTTTTATTTATTATTTATTTATTACTATTTATAATTATTTATCATTATTATTACTGCTATTATTATTATTTTATTATTATTATTATCATTATCATCATTTTAGCTTTAAGTGTTGATTTCCTGATTCTTTTATCAGAATGTTTGTTTAGATGTAAAAGAAGCCTCATCGTTTGTTATCTTTAGAGACAAGGCTTCACAATAAAAGCATGTGAAACAAAATGTCTCAGCTGCTTCACATCACACCGGGTGATTATACGGTCCACGCGCTTCAAATGCCACATGACACCCAACCTTGTGCAATATAATTTACATAATTGTAGCTCCTTGGAAAAATATCATCACTTCCGCAAAAAATAAGAGGAAACCATCCGGTGGCAAAGAGGAGGAGGGACTACTGACACACACACTTACATACACTCACACACACACACGTATACACACACATACAGACACATCTACATACACTCACACACACAGACAGATCTACATACACTCACACACACGCACAGACACGCACACACACGTATACTCACACACTCACACGCACAGACACCAACACACTTATACACACGCACACACAAACACATCTACATACACTCACACAGACAGACACTAACACACACATATACACACACACATACACACACACTCACACACGCTCACACATACACAAACAATTCGTTTTCCGGTTTGTGACTGACACGTTTTTTCAGAATTAAAGCATGTAGTTAGATGGTGTAATGGGACCTAGAGGGCAACGTTGTACACAATTACAATGACATTCATTGTCAGTGTGAACCAACCGATTATATAGTAGTAGTAGTAGTAGACCAAATTACCTTGCTTTTAAATTTCTATTTTAAGACATTTCAGATCTTTATTCTGAAGTCCAGACAACATGTGACCGGATATAATAGTCCTCAAGTTTCACAACTTTATGTAAACAGCCTACAGGGGTACACATATACAATGTTTCATATAGTTCTGTTTTCTGATGTTAGCACTCAATAGATCTCAATAGATATTACGTTTTATCTTTTTGTTTGAAGACATTAACTTATTTCGATTGGATCAAAAACAAGTGTCAAAAAGGGTTTTATTCTGAAAGTAATTACCGGAAATGTAATGTTTTGTTGTCGAGTAGACTTTTATTACTGTCAGTGCGACGTCACCTGAATGTATGAAGCTACCAAGAACTACCAAAATAAGACTTCCTTTTGTTTACTTTCAACATAAAAGCAGGCTGATTTCGACCTTTAACTTTGCTGAAAGTTATACTTGACTGAATCTTAAGAACATTCATATTTAATTTAATTATTTGGTAACGATTTTTTTAATTGAAAAACAAATGACGCTCAATTTACAGCACAGTTGCAACACACACACACACACACACACACACACACACACACAATATGTTAGATACATAAACATTTTCCCTCTTACAAAAGTAAATTTAGTAGAGATCAAAAATACACATGTAATGTAGAAAAAAGGGTAATAATAAACATAATAATGATACATCAACTTAAATATTGATTTAAGTAATTTACAGATTGTGTCATACATACATATTATTAATTAATATAACTCAAATAATAAAAAGGAAACATTTAATTCAATTTTAATAAAGTAAATAAATAAATTCACACACTCACATTTATGATTACCTTCATAAAATATATCTACAAATAGCAATTTTTAAAAATATATAAATACAGTATAAAATTAATAATAGAAGAAAAAACAATCGGCATGCGTATTAATCAAAAAGAGATGACGCGTTTATTTTGAAAATACAACAGCAAATGTACTACAAAAATTCTGCAAGAATTTAGTTATTGTGGAGTTTTTACTTTTTTCTTAGTTTTTGTATTTAATATTCTTTACTGTTTTATTGATATTATTACAGTTTTATCGTTATTACTTTTTTATAATTGTTTTGATCTTGACTTTTTACCATGTATCCACTATGCTGCTGTAATCCTGTACATTTCCCCACTGCAGGAATAATAAAGGATTATTTTATTTTATCTCATTTTAAAACGTTCAACCGGAAGTTTTATTTTGTAGACCGGAAATCCTTTGTGTGTAAGCGGGTGTGTGTTGTCAGGTGACTGGGCCACCGTCACAACACCGCTGACAGCTAGCTTAGCTTAGCTAGCTAGCAGCTACATCGCCGTCTGACCGTCGGACCACCGACTCATGGCGGCCGAAATTCAGCCTCATCCGCAGGCTCGGACGCCATGTCTGCTGAGCAAGATTGAGGCTTTCCAAGATGTCGTTAGCACCGCGGTCATCATCCCCAAGGAGGATGGAGTCATCAGCGTGTCGGAGGACAGGTGAGAGTCCGAGAAAAGAGCTCCAAATCCGGCTTTATTACCGTCAACCTGGCCGGGGTTTCTCCACAACAACAAGGTCTCCGTCCGTCATTGATGATATATTATTTTACATTTAAAATATATATATAGTTATATGTTTATAGCTGAATAAGAAAACATCTGCTAACGTTTCTATAAAAGTGTCAGCTGACACAGATTTTTTTATTTTACTATTAACCAGGTAACTTAACGAACAAAAACACATGTTATTAATCAGATTTAACTGCTGCCTCTGATCATTTTTATTATAAAAGAAAACCACTCCTCTGAGCAGTTTCTCAACCTTGGGTTCGGGACCCCAAACAGGGTCACTAGAATAAGAGCCCTTTTTAGTTCGCGTGTGTGTGTGTGTGTGTGTGTGTGTGTGTGTGTGTGTGTGTTGTGTGTGTTTTTCCTGTATTCTCATTAACTTTACCCAGAACACCTTTGTTTTCCTTTGAATACGTGTATTTACTCATTTAGAATCAGGTTTAATGCCAAGTAGGTTTCATTCTATTCAGTTTATTCTCTGGTAGAGACCTGTCAATCAGTGTGTAGCCCCGCCCTAAAGCATCCCCTGCTTTATGGTCTGTTTGACTCTAAATGGAGCATAATGTACTAAATAAACATCATGCTGTATTGAAGAAGACTTGAAACTAGAGATTGAGACCATAAACTCATGTTTACAATGTTTACTGAGGTAATAAATCAAGAGAGAAGTAGAGTCATTTTCTCATAGACTTCTATACAACCAGAGGAGTCGCCCCCTGGTGGACACTAGTGACCATGACGGCTCTAAAACATTCTGGTTTCCCTCCACAGGACGATCCGGGTTTGGCTGAAGAGAGACAGTGGTCAGTACTGGCCCAGTGTCTACCACACGCTGACCAGTAAGTAGTGCTGCTCACTGGTCTATATTGTGTGTGTTCTGTTTGATTCAGGTCTGAGCTCCTGAAGTCATTTACACTCTTTTTAAGATCCACCAGAGCAGTGTTCACTGACCTGTTTTATAATTAGAGAACTAAACGCTTTGTATTAAACACAGAACTTATTTCAGACTTCTAACCAGAAACATTTCTGGGTTTTGGGATTCTTTCCTGCAGCTCCCTGTTGATTTTTTTAGGTTAATTCATCACAAAAACATCAATATCTGTCTCAGTATCAGTCCATATTCAAAGAAGAAACCAAACATATCGTTGATGTTTTTCTGTACATGTCAAACAATAACAATAACCTCTTGTTCCTGTGTGTGTGTCCAGCGTCGTGCTCCTGCATGTCCTTTAACCCAGAGACCAGGAGGCTGTCAGTGGGGATGGACACCGGGTCTATCTGTGTGAGTCCAACGCTCTGTTATACATATATAATAACATACATATATAATAGCATACATATATAATAGCATGCATATATAATAGCATACATATATAATAGCATCCATATATAATAACATGCATATATAATAGCATGCATATATACCGGTAATAGCATGCATATGTAATAGCATGCATATATAATAGCATGCATATATAATAGCATACATATATAAAAACATACATATATAATAGAATACATATATAATAGAATACATATATAATAGAATACATATATAATAGCATACATATATAATAGCATACATATATAATAGCATACATACATATATAATGGCATACATATATAATAGCATACATATATAATAGCATCCATATATAATAGCATGCATATATACCGGTAATAGCATGCATGTATAATAGCATGCATATATAATAGCATCCATATATAATAGCATCCATATATAATAGCATACATATATAATAGCATCCATATATAATAGCATCCATATATAATAGCATGCATATATACCGGTAATAGCATGCATATATAATAGCATGCATATATAATAGCATACATATATAATAGCATCCATATATAATAGCATCCATATATAATAGCATGCATATATACCGGTAATAGCATGCATATATAATAGCATGCATATATAATAGCATCCATATATAATAGCATCCATATATAATAGCATGCATATATACCGGTAATAGCATGCATATATAATAGCATGCATATATAATAGCATGCATATATAATAGCATATATACATACATATAAGCATACATATATAATAACATACATATATAATAGCATCCATATATAATAGCATGCATATATACCGGTAATAGCATGCATATATAATAGCATGCATATATAATAGCATGCATATATAATAGCATGCATATATAATAGCATACATACATACATATAAGCATACATATATAATAACATACATATATAATAGCATCCATATATAATAGCATGCATATATACCGGTAATAGCATGCATATATAATAGCATACATATATAATAGCATACATATATAATAGCATACATATATAATAGCATACATATATAATAGCATGCATATATAATAGCATGCATATATAATAGCATACATATATAATAGCATACATATATAATAGCATACATATATAATAACATACATATATAATAACATACATATATAATAGCATACATATATAATAGCATACATATATAATAGCAGACATATATAATAGCATACATATATAATAGCAGACATATATAATAGCAGACATATATAATAGCATACATATATAATAGCATACATATATAATAACATACATATATAATAGCAGACATATATAATAGCTGACATATATAATAGCATACATATATAATAGCAGACATATATAATAACATATATAATAACATACATATATAATAACATACATATATAATAACATACATATATAATAGCAGACATATATAATAACATACATATATAATAGCATACATATATAATAGCAGACATATATAATAGCATACATATATAATAGCATACATATATAATAGCATACATATATAATAACATACATATATAATAACATACATATATAATAGCATACATATATAATAGCAGACATATATAATAGCAGACATATATAATAGCAGACATATATAATAGCATACATATATAATAACATATATAATAACATACATATATAATAACATACATATATAATAGCAGACATATATAATAACATACATATATAATAGCATACATATATAATAGCAGACATATATAATAACATATATAATAACATACATATATAATAACATACATATATAATAGCATACATATATAATAACATACATATATAATAGCATACATATATAATAGCATACATATATAATA